TATATATCTATCTATATATCTATCTATCTATATATATATCTATCTATATATATATCTATCTATATCTATCTATATCTATCTATCTATCTATATATATCTATCTATATATATCTATCTATATATATCTATCTATATATATCTATCTATATATATCTATATATATATCTATATCTATCTATATATCTATCTATATATATATCTATATATATATATCTCTATCTATCTATCTATCTATCTTTCATTCTCGTACCTATGAACACAGTGGCCTTTGACTCCAGTGTAAATTAGAACCCTTTTGGATTTTAGGCCGAGACCCAAAACAGGTTGAATTGGAGACGTGCCCCTCTTGATCCATATTACGGTATTATAGCATGCAAACAACTCCACACTCGACAAGCGAGGAAAGATCTGGTGATACTGCAGTTAATGAGTTACAAAGGACATACCCAGAGATGGGGATTCCCTGCTTTATAGTTAGATAACATTGTAAGTTGGTTACAAGTTCATTTTAAATAATAAAAAAGAGGCCCGAGAGGCAACAACCTGTCTACAGTGAAAGCAGCGCTGCTTCAATCCTCCATCAGTGTGTTCTCTCTTTAAGTGTGCAGCCCCAGCACTGCTGTGTGCTCACCTGGGTCAGAACCCAATACACACTCAATGTAGTTCCACACAGAAACCGAAGAAAGAAGACTGTGAGCCCTAAAAAGACACTTGCGTGCAAGTGAGACCCGAGCCGTCACGCTGCCGGTGTAGACGGCTGTGTTGATTATTTAAGATGGAAGTGTATCTGCTCCTCGGACACAAGTGAGCTGGGCAAGAGGAATGCTGCTGAAGCGTCTGTGTGGATGGGATGTAAGAAGCACACAAGCAGTCAGACGGGCTGAAAAGAGAAGACGTTTAGCACAACGGTCCCGTGACATCGTCTCACACACGTAAAAGACGGTTTAGGAAAAATTGATGCAGTAGATTTTTATATATATATATTTTTATCCTTTCATAATTCTTCCTTCTTGTCAAAACCTGTTGCTTCATTACCCACAATTCAACTTGACTAGCGACAGTTCGGCTGGAGATTCAGGGGTGTACAGCTCCACCCCCTCCAGATTTGTTTCTGCAATTTTCAAACTTGTAGTACCGCCGCTTCAAACACTTAATCTGAAACAGAATACAAACTATTATTATTATTATTATTATTATTATTATTATTATTATTAACATCATCACAGTTTACCGACTGACTTCCTGGTTCAACTTTGACTTACTTCACTGATGTTTAGTTTTACACTTGTCCTCTGTAAGAAGGGTTATGACCAACATGCTGAGCGTGGTTAAGGAGAGGAAGGAAGGAATTAACTGTGTGTCCGTCCGTCCGTCCGTCCGTCCAGTGGGATTAGTCTAGTCTAACAGGATCAGCATCTAACGGCTCTTCTCCATCAAATTGAATCTGAGACAAATCATTGCTTTTAATTAGAATAAAAGCCTTCGAGGAGGGCGGCCCGAGCCAAGGCGAGTCCGAGTTGCCGGTGGGTTTTATGGGGGAAGACGGAGAGGGAGCGACGTTGTTGCGCTGGTGTCTTCACTTTTTAACAGACATTGATTCCATTTTGAACGAGCACGCCGTCGAGCTGAGGTTACTGCTTACTGTGCCGGCCAACATTTTATGATGTACAGGCAGCGCACCGTAACCGTCGGTGATTCATAAAACGCCCCACCTGAGCTGAATGCGGACGACTTCCTGTGGTCAGCAGCGAACCCCGCGCTCATGATTGCCTCCTGGAAATACTCATTACTGGAATCGAGGCTTTCGGGGAAACGCCTCTCTCACCATGGGAACCCAAGGGGCTATAAATGAGATGATTCATGTTCGTGCTACAGCTTTAAATGCAACGGTTACTGACTGTAACAAGGCAGCTGACTCAGAAATGCAGCGTTGGCAAGAGTCGTCCTCTGGTGCCTGATCTGATCTGGAGCAGACGCCTCGGAAAGAGACGCTCACCACTTGAAAAAACAGCAGCATTTGTTCAGTGCAAGTTCAAATGCTCAAAAATTCAGTAGGATATCTTGTGGCCAAATTAAATATGACGAATGAGAAGTCCGTTAGCTTAGCTTAGCACAAAGGGTGGAAACGGAAGCAGCTATTCTGGTTCTATCCAAGGGCCTATCAGCACTTTTTAAGCCGGGCGGACGCTGTTCGGATTAAACCCAGGTTTTTTTTAATACCCCGAATTGGACACTTCAGACCAATTTTACAATTCAGCCGAATTTCTGCCAGATCAGGTTCCTTTGATGTGCGGTTTGAGCAGTTCCAGGGTTCTGTCTCCCACATGACTGATGTCAAAAGATCCCTTCTAGACTGTCGTTAGATTGTTTTGATACTATTTGGTCAGTAGTTTTAAAGTACATTCAGAGAAACGCACAGCAGAATTTTTCGCGTGGTGAGATGAAATGCAAAGTCAATGACAAATGAACTTTCAGTCTTTTAGGCCAACGTTGATGAGTCTTCCAGGTGCTCAAGAAAAATTTCAGTTTTTTACAATTCCTTGACAACCCGACAAATTGAATGTGCCGATGAAGATCGTGTGATGTGAGCAAAGGCTCCAGAACACCTACCAAATATATTTTTGTGGCAAGATTATTCTGTCCACTGCTGTTTCCAAGGTCACTAATAGGATGGTGTTTACTTTAGAGGACTTCTGCTCAGAGAGCGTTCATCACTGGAGAAGTTTACTTGTATGGGACTCAGTTTGTGCAGAGAGCAGGGTGTCCATTCGTCTCATTTATGTTGTCACCTGACTTTGTCTTGTTCTATGTCTTGTCTTCTCCATTTTGTCTTTTTTTTTTTTTTTTCCCCCAATTGTTTCTGCCCAACTCATCCTCCGTTGTGTCCCTCAGCTGGCCCCCAGAGAGAGGGAGGCCACCAACTACAGTCAGAAGCTGAAGGAGAAGTTCCAGCACCACCCGCAGATCAGACGCATCGCTCATCACCGACATCTGCCCAAGAGCCTCTACCATCAGACCAAGGAGCTGAGGGTCATGAAAGAGGCTCGCCGCAGGAAGTACGTGTTCATTATTTTTTCTTTTTTTTTTTTAAATTTATTTATTTTTTTAAAGCTAGCCATTTTATCTGAAAGAATGGTCACGACGTACTCTCTGTGGTCCACGTAGAGGTGATGGTGACTTGGGCTGCTGCCAATCTAGGTCTGACCTACGCAGTCCCACCAGCCTAATGGAAAATGTCACTGATGGGCTGGCCTCCTATGACATGGGCTCAATAGCCCTTACATACTCATTTACAGCTTGTATGGTGGATTGATTGTTCCAGTTTGCCCTGCCGTCCAGTGATTCATAGCTCGGTCTGTGGCTGGTTTTTATTTTATTTTCTAATTACTGGCGGTACGGTGAGACGTCACACATGTGTTTGGGCTGTGAATGATTTGCTATCCATGCTTTATGCAGTTATTTTCAGGGTACATCGGCGTAGTGGGTGACGTAGGTGTTAGGTCAACAGTCTCATATTCACTCACTTCCTCCCTCCTCTCTGTTTGCTCATCTCTCTGTCATATGAATATTCCCACCAGCAGTTTGTTCACGGCTCTTCTTCCTTTTTTTCTTTTCCAGGGAGAGGAATGTCCGCAAGCACAGCAAGCCGGGAAGTGTTCCTGTGGTGTCTGAGAGGGAGAAGCACGTTGTGACCGTGGTCAAATAGGCAGAGCCGGAGGAGAGAGCGGAACACCGAAGGGGCCCGCCGACGAGAGATGAGGTGGAGCCCCCCCCCCCCCCATGACCACACCCACATGGGACATGTTCAGACTGCTTTCACTTTAGAGTGGGGAGGAAAAAAACGTTTGAATTTGTCAGTTGTGGAAAGGACAAGTTCTGCATCGTTTGAAGGACACGGACTGTAAATGCAGACAAACATTAAATCTTGTGAAACTTTCTCTCTCCACCACTAAGGCAAAGACCGGCTGTACTATTCACCCTGCAGTGACACATCTCTTTTGGTCTTGTATTTTAGTGAAGAGTTTGCATTCTTCATCACATATTTTTAAGAAATTACGAACCGATTAAATGGATCCTGTGTTTAAAGAATGTCATGTGACTTGGTACATACTTGTTCCCTGCTGTTTCAATAGTCTTTTTCTTGAATGAAGTTCCAGACACGTGCTACAGTAGATTATTTAAACTACCAGAGATGGCGTAAAAGGTTTCAGTATGCTTCAAAAGTCTTGCCGTCCGACTTCTTCTACAGGAGGAAGTGTTTGTTATGAATGGCCACACTCAACATAAAGACCTGTTGGAAAGCTTGATGTCATAGCCTCATCCTGGCTGTATCTATGATCGTTCTGTCTTTTGTGATAATCGTAGAAACTGTCCCAATGTTCTACACAGGTAGTTTTGACTTCCTCGCAAAAACTTCAGTTATTCTACATTTCCCCTCAGTTTTGGAATATATTACTTCCTCTATGGGCTTTAACATATATAGAGGGCACAGCACACTCAAAACATGTCCATACATGAGGCTAACTGTCGTGATCTGAATCATTCAGAATTCAAACTCAACCCCAAGTTCCCTCTTGTTTAACTTGTTGTAGCAGATCACTAAGTGAATTACAGCCTAATGAGGTTGATGCTCGATCCTCTTAATGTTGTCCTTCAAATCCCATCAACACCGCAGCCTGAAATTGGAGAAATGTAATAAAGGGTTGAAGCGGCGGTGGAAAGTAAAGTGAAAGATCGTGGCATCTAGATCTGCTCAAAAAGTCAGTTTGGGTGATGCAAACAATTTAAGTGAAATGTGAAACCTGAAGGCTCTAACAATCGTTTTCATAATCGATTGATCTAGTTATTTTCTCTATTTTATTTATCAATCATTTGGTCTG